GGAGAACTGAAAACACGGCCTGGATTTGGAATCGAGGTCCAGAGTTGAAGAACCCTGCACTATATATACACATTGAGAGACAGCAACTATAAATGGCTGAGGGTGTAAGTATACTGCCATTAGATCTCTCCTTTGTCCATTTTCCAACTTTCCAGGACACCATCATAAGGTTTTAGTGTGGAAGGAGTCTCTCAGAATATGGTAGCCCATTTTCCAAGGGGAATAGTCTTGGCTCCCATTAAACCAATAATGAGGAAAATCAGTGGCTGCTGGATGGATTTTTAACACGGTGAGCAGCATCCCGCAGAACAAGTTTCCAAATACAATGCGCTGCCGCTGCTTCAGCCCCGGTGCCGCTCAGTATCAAGAACCCTCCCGCCGGAACTACTTTCCGTGAGGGGATCGCGAGCTGAGTCAGGAGTTAGATCCAAACCTCTTTCTCATTTTCTGTACATTACGCTATATTATATATATATATATATATATATATATATATATATATATATATATATATATATATATATACACACACACACACACACACACACACACACACAATACAGAATGCGATTATATAACACTGCACGCAGACAGGCTGCTGCCGCCGCGGGGCTGCTTCTCCCTGCTGTTTTTATTAAACTTGTGCATTACTAATAAACTTACGAAGATTACCTCGGGCGCCTGCATCGGTCCCTTTAACTTCGAATTTTTTAACAAAATATACTGAACAAGTTAAATTCTTCGTCCATTATTACAATTTGGAAAAACAAACACTTTGCTGTGAAAACTACATCTGCTTGTGTAATGGGAAAAGCACATCGTAGCCCTTGTAAGTAATTAAATTCTTAATGTGATTTTAAACAGATATTGCTCGGAAACTTTGAGGTCTTCCGCTCTACACTATTAGGAAAACCTTCCTTGGACAACTAAAAAATGATTTAATGGACATTTAAATAGCTAAAGGCCTCGTAACTGAATTAATTTAATTATTATATAGTCATAAGAAATGCGTACAGCTGGAAACAACGGGATGTTTTTGTTTTGTAAATGATAACATCCAGTCATTTTTAAAGGCACTTTGCATTTAAGAAAAATAACCAAGACCAAAACTGATTGTTTTTATCCAGCGCTTGTAATTGTATTAGTACAGACGTGCTTCACTGCCCTAATTGCAAACAGAACTGAAGATCCTGCAAACGGGTATATTGGGGATTCTTTTCTATTTTTTACTGGATCGCCTACCTAATTCATTCATTATTAGTATATGAGTTACTGTTGAAAGATTTTAACTTTATGGATGAATTCCCTTTCAAGAGGCCGCACGCACCGCGTGGAGAGGCATTTAGAAGAGATGATTAAGGTTGCCTACGATTTGCTTTTCGCCCAGTTTTTTTTTTCCACTAATCAAAAGATTCAGCCAGAAAAACACGGTCCGATGGGGGATTTATCACGTCCCCGCAGTGTGAGAAACACACATTGGATGTCAGCAAATGCCGCATTCCGAAATCCGGTAAGACGCCGCACAATACATTTGTAATAACAGCTTACTGTGTAACAAACAAGGTTCCTCGCCATGCTAATGAAATGCAACTCCGAGCACACTATAGATTTTACGTTTCTCACTGAAGCTTTGTAGTTTAACTCTCCCCTGACTCGTGTGAAAATAGTTCTGCTAGTGATCTCTCAAAACTACCCGTCTCTGTTTCTCAAACAAAAACACCATCACTCACGCCATCGCTAATTTCTTGGAGCTGGCACTGGAATTTTCTCCAGAGACTGAATATAGGCAGACATACAGATACAAAGCAATGAACGGGGAATGGCGGGAATATGGTGAAAATCTTTCATGGTGATCCGTGATCCTCCTGCAAGCAAACATAAAAACAGACGAAAGAAGCATCATCTTTAATCATTAAACACCACAACCACATCAGGGTGAGTTAGTGCTAAAACAACAAACAAAACACTGGTAACTAAAATAAGTGAAGTCACTAACCTATATAAAACAAATAAATTCACAGATAAATTCCCTAACTCCCCCTCTAGTCAAACACAGGGGAAAAAAACAATACAGAACAAAAATGGCACTCTCCCTAAGCATGTGGGACAAATTACAAAGAGATTCTCAATCCATCCATCCATCCATCCAAGGTTGTAGAGGGCCTGGAGCGTGTTCCAGGCAGCAAAGGGCACAAGTTTAAGGTATACACCCTAAATGCCATCCATTCAAATCATTATACACAATCTTTATATTCAGTTTTGAAGAATGTCTCTCACCCAGATAAGCAGATAGAAAATGGATTAATGAATACTGAGGAATATTGTTGTAACATTAAAGGAATTCCTGTAAATAATGCAAGTATAATATACGCCCTAACCTGCTTATGGTTTAGCCAAATAAATATTTGATATTTATGAAGCATTTTTTTCAGCTACAGTAACATTCGTTCTCAAACTGAGAGTCAGTGGGAGAATGTATGCATGTAGATGAAACCTAATGAAAGGCATTGTTCAATTTGCTCAGCGTGATCCTACTTGACAGCTAAACCGGAGAAGTCTAGCATTCACAGCAAGACGCTAAAAGCAAACATGAATTAAGGATAATTGGTAATTGGACTCGAAATGGAAAAAGCAGACAGAATCCTCGGTGTTCTGAGAAGGCAGTGAACTGTGAAAACTAATGTTTTCCATGGGGTTTTTGCGTGAACGATGGGCTGACGGGTTTGATTCCATGGTTGGTGGAATGATGTGTGTCAAAGGCTTGAGTTACAATGCAATTTCACCGCATCCCTTCTATTAAGGGTCGCCTGGCACATGAAAATCCAGACGCTGTTCATGGCATCAAATCAGCAATTCTGGGCAACAAGATGGACCCTAGGTGACTATAAAAGTCTTCCTCACAGGAGGATCCATATTTCAGCCAATCACCATCAAACAGTCATGCCCAGATGCTATATTCTGGTGTAAAATTACCCGTTTCTTTGGCACAGACATGTTATACCCCTGTTATATTTCCTCCTAATTACTCAGCAATGAGGTGTTGTGCACGTGACATTGAGCGTCTATCAAGGGATCTTTGGCAGTTGAGGTCCCCATAGACATAGTCGGGGGAAACACAAAAAGCTTTATTTTGTGTCAAATACAGTCTATCAACCTCAAATTTAGTGTGAGAAGAGAAGAACTGCAGACACCCAGTAACTCCCAGCATCATATATATACACAGAGATAACAACCCCATTTGTCAACTGCCTGACATTTCAGCAGCGATTCCACAGAATGCGGCGTGACTACGGGGGAATCCTATCACTTTGCAGCATGTAAATCCAGCCAATGGGTGGGCAACTCCCGCCCGCCACCATGAGCCTAAGGAGCGAGAACACGTCGCTAAGATACAGAACCACTGGGGCTCAGTTGCTGGAGATGCAGCTTCAGCCACCAGAGCTGAAGCTGCAAACTGATGCTTCTGTCACGTGGATGCAGATCACACGGACGGCTCATTCCACAGCGCCGGGAAGCAAAGACTTAACTTTTAAGATCAGCCGCTCTCTTGGGATTTATACAGCTCATAATCATTCTAATTGTTTTTGTATTTTTAATCTGCTGTCAAATAAACAGTAAACAGTTCTCAGTCATTCTGCTCTTTCTCCTTAAACTGTTTTTCATCTGTTAATATCTGTTGATTAGCCAACTGTCTCGAACTCTAAAATCCTCTAAACCGTAACTCTGAACTGTAACTCTAAAATCGTGTTTGTAGATTGTTCGGAAATGTTTAAACTGAAGCGGAGTATTCCTTTGACATGATTAATTGGATGGGCAGCTTTGCAGCCTCATACCTTAAGGGTCTGAATTTTAAGTCCTGCGTGGACTCTGAGCATGAAGCTTGACCCTACCGTCTGAGAACATGCCGTTACGAGGAAGGGCGTCTCTAAACGGCTCATTGTGTTCCCAGTGATGGACTGGCATCATGTCGACAGTGTCCCCACTTCCTGCCCTCTGCTTCCTGCAATAGGCTCGACGCAACTCTACATTAGAGAAGCAGTCACGGAAGATGGATGGATGTATTGTGAATTATACTATGCTATAGTACAAGACAAATGTTGTCTCTCAAATGATGCACCTCATTTGAGAAACTGGAGGCAACCTCAACCGTCTGATGTCTGAGAGCGGAGCGGCGAGCCGCGGTGGAAGCCATAAATAAGCCAATCTGACGACCTGAGTCTCAGGCATGAGACGAGTCCTCGGTCTGGGGCCCGCCATCCCACCTGCGTGCGCCACGCGCCGAAGAACAATAAATCACCGGCTGTAATGAACACGCAGTGCTGGAAATGGGGCAGAACAGCCCTGGCCTGCAGGAAACACCCCGTCAGGCAGCCGTGGGCAGCCTTCCTGAGGGCATCACGAGCGGCGGGGCCCTGGCAGAGGGGCACGAGTCAAGCTACATGACAGCATCTCTCCTATAATGAAGACCTGACTGGGCGCCCCCACAGAACAGCACACCACCTCGACAGAGTAAATGGGGAACTTAGGAGCGCAGGACGCTCCATGAATCTAGACTCTTTAGACCCACTTCTTCCAGGTCTGAGTTCTCATTTCGTGACTAATTACTAAGGGAAAGTAGGAGTGACAGGAATCCCTGTGGCTTCAAGAAGATATTATCATCTGCCGGTGGGGAGAGAATTAACCATGAATTTAAGGACCCGGTGCCAAAACTCAAGGGGCTCTCTTTATATTCCTGGCAACACTGCCCATCTGGAGGGCGACATCCTTACTGGAGGATCTTAAAAAAATAAAAGCGATTTGCAAACCATGAAGGTGAGTAGCTCTTTAAAGTGGGATTAGACTGACGCCGGACAGCGTGAGAGGGCACGAGGGGCTGGAAGCCGACTGGAAATGAAAAGCCTCTTAATTGGAAGGGAGGGTACAGTCGCCTAATGACGAAAAACCCTGACCGGCGATCCGAGAGAGTCTCGGGGGGGGAGCGCTGCTCTCGTACGCGAAGGAATGGCTCCATAAAAAATAGGGGGGGGCTTTTTAAAACAGGTGTGATATCCACTAAAGCAAACAGATAATAGGAGTAACCTGGCAGAAGCTGGGAACTGTCACTGGTGGTGAAGGAGCTGTGAGCCTTTCCGGATCCATCCGTGCGGGGCCCCTATTACAGGGCTGTCCCTGCTGATTAAAGAGCTGGCCAAAGGCAGGCCATGGCCGCTTTTACACCCCCCCCCCCCCCAGTGGAACTGGCCCCCATATCAAGATTGCTGACCTTGTCACTGCCTGTACCACCCCCCCCACAGAGCGTGAGAGGCTCAGGTGCCGAGCGCTGTCACATTCTGCATTAGTCACAGCTAATGAGAACGAATTCACTGTAATTAGAGCTGCCATTTTGTGATAATTGCCCTATACACAGTGTGCGGGGCTAACCTAAATGCCCCGGTTGGGGCGTCTAGACAACTGCGATTGCATAGCCAATGGGCCTCACCTTTTCCACTGCGTCTTTGTGACCCCAGAGAGCGACGGAGTCACTGGGGAAGGAACTAACCCAACACACGGCCTCCAGATATGAAAAACTACCATTACAAAGCTCTGTTTACGTATTTAACAATCTTCTAGTTTACGTAATTATATATCACAGAGTAAGAGCTGTTTTCATGCAACATGGCTTTTTATAATTGGTTATATAAGGGACTTAATTACAATACTGTTAATTTGATCACATCACCAACTGATATTGTTAGCGGTTTTTTTGTTTATTTTGATTTAGGTCTCTCCATAAAATGCATCAGTTTGTTAAACAGAATACAGAATACAGCTATACTCCGAAATACTGTATATACTCCGATATACTCAAATCAAGAGCCCTGCCAAACACTCTTTGATGATACATGAAAAGGTATAACATAGAGAACACATACATGCAAACCGGATGGATCGTCTCAGTGCCCAGTCCATAGCCAATGGGTGAAGAGGCCACCAAGCTCAAGCACTATGGAAACCAATCTTCTCCACCTGATTTGACCCCTGCTGATGACCAGGCTGAGTTATATCATGCTGAAAATGAAACCACAACAACATGAACAAATTTGACAGATAGGAGCAGAGCCTAGATTCCTCTTAGTGATGAGCAAGTCAGTGTCTGGACCAGAGCCTGAGGGGGGTTTCAGTTCATTTTATTTTTATATAGCACCTTTCACAACACAGTCACCCCGAGGCGGTTTACACGGATGTAATACATTCCTACATAATTTTACACAATAATTCGAAAATGGGGAAATGGGAAGACAAAGAAATAAAAGAAAGATAGCCAGATGATAACAGAGGACCTCTGGGGGTGCAAGGTCAACTGGCTGCCCAATCGCCCCCCCCCCCCAGGCATGCTAACATTACAGGAAAGAGAGAATGGGCCTTCTTGCTAAAGACAAGGTGTAAATTGCGGTCAGGGACAAAGTGAAAGTCCATCAACGATCCAGTTCTCCATGCAGCCTGTGTTTGGTGGCAAATTGAAGGCTGCACCCATGACATCACCGTTTGTAAGTCACATGATGTCATCCTTCCACGGGACTGAACCAGGACTCCAGCTGAGATGGTGCCCACCCTGCGCACCATCCGGACAAGTGGGAAATATAAGTAAATTAAATATAAACTGTGAACAACCACAGTCAACATCTGCGTGTGTATGCATTACCTTGTTATTGCGTTTAAGGTGATTTAATTGTGTCAGTTTTAGGGAAACGGCCGGCGAGAGATCAAACAGAGCGGTACACGCCGTCTAAGATGCTGCCCCAGCATGCTCCCATAATGCAGAGGGTACTCTATAGACTGCTGGGGATCTAAGGGAAGTGAATTAATGTCACGGGTGCCACTGAGGGAATGGAATTAGACAGTGACACACAATGCTGTCGTCATGCCGTGGTCCCGCGGCCGGGCCACGTGTCTCATGTCCAAAGGGCTCAGCAAACAGGTCAGAAGATGGAAGATCACTGCAGGAGGCAGTGCTGCCATGGCAACGTCAAGCCCGGCTGATCGCTGATGCTCGATCAACACGCCGCAAATGTGTAGCGGTCAGGGTCACGCCAAGAACGACATTAATTAGCCGCCATTGAGAGTAAATATCCCTGTGAGGAAATTCTGAGTGCGGCAATATGAGATTTATTCATGCAGTGGCTTACCGTGTGCCACATTTTTGCAATCAACTGCACCCCTACTACACATCACAGCCTACATTTCCACTAGACTCGCCGGCCGCATTTGATTGGACAGAGGCTTAGAAGAATTCTCCAAGATCAGCAAACGAAGGGGAAAGATGCAGTGTTGACGATCCATTGCCACATTTGTTGCTATTGCCTTTTCTTTTATTTGCCTGCATTGCTATTGTCTGTTGTTTTTTTTTTCAGTGTTCTGGCAGCCAATGAGGACGCCAGCTGAAGACACGGGAAGACCAATAGCACGGATGCTGAAGAAACAGCGTTCATGACATCCCAGCATGGGTGAACTGGCCAGTCCAAGAGGGGAAGCTCTAAAAATAAAGGATTATCTTTTCTTATTCCTTCCACAGGCGTTACCTGACTTGTGCTGTTTGGGATAGACTCCAGTCCCCTGTGACTCTGTACTGGAAACGTGCCTGTAAGACCGATGGTTTTTTCTGAATGCTTCTAAAAAAATCTAAAATCACCGTCTATATTCCAATCCCTTATTTTTTGATGGAATCTAAATTAAAATCTGCATGCTAAATTCAAAGTGCACTTACAAGCTTTACAAATCTCATTATAACCTGCAAAACACACCAGAGCAGTTTATATCTTAAGTATCATAATGGCATCAATGGTTTATAATTATAATGGAATAAAATGCCTCTTACTCTGTCCTCCATCTTTTTTTCCCCCCCTTCAGCAGCTTTCACAAAGGATCCAAGTGCATTTTCATCTAAATGGTGAGTCAGGGAGAATAATGGCCAGCCACACACCCACTGCAAGCGCGCGCACACACACATACACACACACATACACACACACACACACACACACGCACACACACACGCACACACACACGCAAACACACGCACACACACACACACAAACACACGCACAAAGTCACACACACAAAGTCACACACAGACAATGAGTGAGATCCAGTGTTTGCAGATGTAAGTGAACAAATTACAAATGATCGCCCTTTGTAATGAAGGCAGCCGGGCATATTGTGCAAATGCTCTGCTCCTTAATGATTTAATTAAGAAGTTCAGTAGAACCAGAGGAGGAGATTCCGGTCCTGACATAAACGAGTGGCACAGCGACAGCTCAGGCACTAAGCTAATTGGTCCTGGGCAAACAGATGTGTCTTTTCTGTGCCCATTTTTTGGCAGAGTCTCTGCATTTGTTTAAATTGGAGGCAGTGCGAGGCACACCAAATGTTGCTGAAAGCAATCAGTTTACCAAGGTTAATACCGCTATCTGTGGATCATTTGACCATCTACTTCTTACAAAAACACCTCCGTCAATACACGGAGGGGGGGGGGGGTTTAAGGATCTTTAAAATGTTGTACATGAAGTGATTTCCCATCAAAGTGGTTGAGAGAATTTAAAACCTCAAACTCAATTAGGGGATTTGAGGGTAATGGGTCTGCAATAATGGTCTATTGTTCCTATTGTTTAGAAGCCCAAAAAACATTCTGGTCACAAAGACAAACCTTCTGTTTAAGCTGTAAGGAAGTGTTATGCACATTCGGTGAGTTTGCTTGTCATTTAGACCGGGAAACAGCAGATCTATGTTGTTTCTCAATACCAATAATGCAAAGATCACATTTGTCACATTTGGGTGCGAGAGAAACGCAATTTCAATCCTTTGTATGTCCTGTACATATGGCAGCATTGACAAATAAAGACTTTGACTTGTGGTCTTGGCAAGACCGATCTTGCTAACTTGCCTTCCAAGAACAAACCTCATCCCGCCTCATCGGCACAATCTGCCCTCAGCTCGTAAACCTTGGACAGTTCAAACTGCTCTGCAAGAAACAGCTTATTTACCTCCCTTCGGCCAATAAATAAAAGAAAATCTCGCGCAATCTCTCACTCTATCGCTCTCCTCCCTTCATTTTCATCCTTTTGTCAGATCAGCTTAATGCACCGCATCTCCAGGGTCGGGGGCACCAGTGACGGACAATTAATCTCCACCCTCCTAAACAATCCAAATCACAAAGCTGCAGTTGTTGCCTGTCACATTATAGAAACGTAGGGCGACGTAGCTGATGGATCCGCCCTCGGCCACACCGCCGACCCAGTGACTCTACCGGCAATTTTCACAAGAGCTCACTTCCATCAGGTTTCGTAATTCGGGCTTATTGATCACCCATAGAAGGTCGCACACCGTGACCGGACCTCAGTTGGAGCTTTGCCATTTCTCAGCAGTGCTCCAAAACGATCGCAAAACAAAGACTTCCCCCCTCAGCCCTCTTCCAACAGTGGATGACATTTGCTCATAAATCCTGGGAAGCAAAAACAGAGGTCAGACCCAAAACTTCAAGCTCCTTTGTTCTCCACACGTCCCAGAGATGTAAAGACAGCCTGTTAAGAAACAGATCAATAAGGACACCGAACAAAAATGGCCAGACTCACCCTCCTTCGTATCTCCCTCTCATTTGAGAAAGAAATAAAACTTTCTGCACAGCGTGTGCTGACAATACGCTGGAGACTGTTTTACATAGCTGGTCTATGGAGTTTCACTGATTGCTGCAATAAATCACACAAAAGGTACTGTCATATTCACTGTCCCAGGGAAAAAGAATAGATGAAAGAAACGTACCAAAATTGTTGGATTGGGAAACGAGAAAATATTTATTATGCTGCGAAAACACATTTAAAAACCCAAGAATTCCTTATGATGCCACCATGCCACAATCGTTTTACGCAGCCTGTGTTGATCTTAAAGATGCAGTTCTAAGTCAGATTACTTCTTTATTATTCCTGGAGCCAATTACCTTTACCACATACATTACAGGAATTGATATCGATTAAATGGACAGTGCGTGGGATTGAGATGAGTAAGGATTTATAAGGGTCAATGTACCTCGAATTAATTAATCCAGGAAAACAACGTAACTCCATTGTTTAATTACAGATGTTAATGGGACTGTCTATGTGGTATACGTTGTTATTTCAATGATTCCACCACTCCGGTACAGCTCTTTTGCATAGCTTTTATGCCACAGGATTCCCTTCGTAAATCAGGAAAGCAATTAGATTAAACTTATCGCCAGTCAGCACTTATTCAGACTAATTGTCACCCAAGAAGCGTTGCACTTTTTTTAGCATTCGTTAACGTTGAATAGATCCCTGTAATTTGAAGACAGTGTGACTTGATTAAGAAAATGCTGGCTATTCTCCGTTTAATTGCATAGAAAGAACCGACGTAATTCTGGTATCGGTTGTAAAGGTGACCGCGATACATTGTGCCGCTGTAAATTAAGTAAAAGGAAATGTATCAGCTAAAAAGTTCGACCACCTTCACATTTCTCAGGTTAACTTCAAATAAATGGGCATGCTATTTTTGAATTTCATTTTTAATATAAACGTCAAAGGATTTTAAAATAGTGTGACACTGCCACCTATGGGTGATAAAAAATTACATAGCCAACTGTTTTTATAGTTTCGTCATTCATGTATGTGAGATAATAATAATAACTGACCTTATTAAACGTAAATGAATTTGCTTAGGCGTTAAATAGAAACTATTTTAAAACATTTCTTTAAGTCTGCTCTCCCCTACTGTTCACTGTTTTTCGAGGTAGTTGAGCGCAGACCGTGCGATGCCAGCACTGTCGTAAAAAGGATGCGTTTTTGAATACGGCAACGTGGCCTTAGAAACACGAAGATGGCAACCTCAGTGATTTGCAAAGAGACAGTATCCAGGTAGGAAAGCGGGACTTCAGTTGAAACTTAAATACTCTTCATATTTAACCGTTAAGTTAAAGACACGTTTTCATACAACGTCCTTTCGTTTTGTTCGTGTTACTTAACTGTAATACGCTTCAAAACAGGCATACTGGATACTGCCTGCTTGCCCCAAACAGTGCTTTGAATTTGCTCACGGCTGTCGGTGTTGTTATTTTCTGTATTTATTAGGGTGAGTTCAGTTCTGAACAGGGACGTCAAACAATTTGGAAAGCATTATATGTTTGACTGTAATGAAGAGACGTGTTGGAATTCTGACCAGGTACAATACAGTAAGCAAATCAAAATGCTGTTCATTTTCAAAGACGAAATGTTTATGTGCTTTTTGCTAATCAATGGGAGCACTTTGTTTTTCTTTAATGCAGTTAAAGAGCTTCTGTTTGATTTGGTTTAGGGCGATCTTCAGTGGGTGCTTCTGGACTTTCCAAAGCCAGTCAAAATATCCACAGTGAATGTGCAGTTTCAGGGTGGGTTTGCAGGGAAAACATGTCGATTGGAAGGTAAATGCACGTGCACTTAAAATAATCCAGGCAATACATTAACAAATCTGTTTTCCCACAATCAACGCGATTCCCCTAAACCGTACATCTGCGATGTAAAAGCATGATTTACATGTTAATAACCCAGTCCGCTAATTTTGTTACGCCGTTGATTAACAAGATAATTGAAAACTGACCAATTCCCTTGATCTGCTCTCACAATATGCATCAATCAATCAAAAGGTGTATTTGTCCCCAAGGGGCAATTTGAGATTGTATCAATTGTATTGTATTTTGACATTACATTATGGCAAAATTGACGTGGATCATTTTTAGAAACGTTCATCTTCTCGTTTCAGGTAGTCTAAAAGATGAAGCATTTGCAAACCTTACAGTTTTTTACCCTGAGGATAACAACAATGTCCAGATATCCTTTAAAGCTTCTAGTAGATGTGTACCTGGCATATTAGCAGTGTGTGGAAGATACCTAGCACATAGTCATTATGAGATCTGCATTTGCGTGTTCAGAATGTAAATTCTACTTTGCAAACATGGTTTCTCTACAAGAAGCGGTATGTTTTGGCACAGTGGTTAGCACCTCTGCGACAAGGGTTCGAGTCATGTGTGGAGTTTGCATGTTCTCCGTGTGTCTTTGGGGGGGGGGGGGGGTTTCCTCCAGGTACTCTGGTTTCTCCCCACAGTTCAAAAACATGCAGAGATTAATTGAAGTTGCCAAATTGCCTGTAAGTGTGCATGTGTGAGTGAATTGTGTGTCTGTGTGCATGTGCGTGTGTGTGTCTGTCTGTGTGCATGTGTGTGTGTCTGTCTGTGTGCGTGTGTGTGTGTGTGTGTGTGTGTATGCCATGTGATGCGTTGGAAGACTCTCCTGGGGTTTTCCCAGCCTTATGTCTGTAGGCACTGGNCCCCCCCCCCCCCCCCCCCCGACCCTGAATAGGATAAGCAGTTAGAGGATGGATGGATGGATGGCTTCTCCACATTTTAATATCTTTAAAAATTCTTCTGTTATGGTTGCAATGAACTAAATTCATACCAGGAATTGGAAAGTCCAGGCCACACTTACAAGCTAAACCAGAGCCTTTTCGTAATACCTATGGGGATTTTACCCACACTGTGCTCTGCCTCTACATCACCACAGGAAGTATGACCAGACCCTGTAAATAGCCATTTAACATGCTTGATTCACAAACTACTACTACCCCTTAAGTCAGGCTTTGCTATGTTTTTTTTCACCCTTGACTGCACACCCACAGCTTTCCCATTGGAGAAACCCCCTCAGTGCAGAGGTTAAAAATAGTGTTTGAGAACAGTACAGACTTTTTTGGAAGAATAATTGTTTACTCCTTGGATGTGCTGGGAGAACGGACCTGATAACCGTTTCCGTGAGATGAGAATAGAGCGAAGGGCACGGGACCTGTTTGCACTGGAACGCAGGAGCGGGAGAATCTCAAGACTGCTGATATAAAAGTAACCGGATGTAAGATTAGCTGCATGGTTTTGCTGAAAGAGAAATTTTGAGTATTGACTGACTAGAGAACATGCTCACTTATACTGAACATCAAATTACACGTCTCAGTATGTGCCTTGGTTCCTTTGTATGGATGTATGGTGTTTTGGATATTTGATTTTTGTATGTAATAATAATAAAAAAACAACCTGAAAAAACCTTTTTTGTAATTATGAATGTTTATTTACAAGAATAGACCCTGTTCGCCAGAATACAATTGGGCAGTGGTGGCTTAATGGTTGGGGAAGCACACTTGTATTTGAAAGAATCCCCAACCAGCAAGGCACCACTGAGGTGCCCTGAGCAAGGTACCGCCCCCAAGCACTGCTCCCCAGGCGCTGAATTAGCTGCCCCTTGCTATGTCACATATGGGTTAAAGGCAGAGGACACATTTTGTTGCTGTGTGCTGTGGTGTGTCATCATTGACCACTGATCTCTAAATTCAAACACAATGGGTCATAATGTATAGAGTTGACACTTTAATGGCAAGATAAAATAAGTAATATGTGCTTGCGTTCGATGTCCATGCATGATTACTGAGGACCGATGGACTACGACTCCTGTTTACAGAATCCCCGCAGTCTGCCAGCAGACTGCCCCCGTGCAGGATGGTGGCGGCCAAGCGCCTTGCAGACCCCCTCTCTGCCGGGTCGTTTCCTCGCCCTTGACGAAGCAGCTTCCTGTTGTCACGCTTTCTGCTTCAGCAATGCCAGGATGTGATCCTCGATCACCCTTTGGACTGTAACCGCAAAGCAGCCACTGTTTATACCCATCATATATGCAGAGAAAGCCCTCACTTGTATTATTACAGACAGCATCTGCACATCACATTTTCGTAAAACACCCGTTTCTTTTATGGAGTCTGTATCATAAGGCATGATCTACTGACAGGCAAGCCTGACTTTTTAAAATGGAAAAGCAGCAATTAATTTCTGTGACAAGCTGGTCAGTTGGTACACTGTACAAGAACTTTGGTTGTGGAAACGTTCTATTCTATCCTGTTTGTTCTGGTCTCTGATGTATTTGGGGCAGCGTAGAAAGGTTGTATATTATTTGCAGTAACTGTCCATTATTTTGATAGGCCATATCATTTTACACTCGAGCTTGCGATCGACTTTTATTTTGATACGCTGCCTTTAGTTTGATGCCTATGCTTTATATTGTTGGATAGGGAACCTCCAGTAGCATGCAAAGCACAGACGTGCGTAAGGTTAAAGTTTTCCTGCCTTGTACTTTGAAAGCAATGGCTGTACATTTTTATTTATTTATATATATATATATATATATATTTGTTTCGTATCTTAGTTAATATGTACAAGTGACATTTTCTTATTTTCTATGTTTCAGTTCGGTAATGAGCTAAAAGATGCTAACACTGATTCATCGGATTGCACCGATGCCAATTACGACACGCCTATATATGTTAGCGTATCATTTATTTGCAGTTCCGTCGATGATTAACGTTAACACTTATCGACCAGCTTGTTCTAACTTTGCTATGCTAGATAAGGGATCTCCTGAGTCTTTTCTGCGTTTGCTTTAGTACAGTTTCACTCATAGATTTTCACCTGTCACATACGGAGAAAACGCATAGCGGGGAGCGGACACTGTTTATCGCATTATACAGTACGCTACTGTATAAATATTCATAAATATAAAAATGTTATAGATAGTGTGAAGGTGGCATGAAAGCAACATCTAGAGATGATTGAGAAACCCAGTACCAGTACAGTGACCTTGAAATATCAGTAAGGGACGGCTCCTCGTTTATCGACCAATTCGCTTAAGGACCTGCTCGTTAATGCACTTCGCCGTAAAGAAAGGCCGGCCCCGTTCGTACCCTTTTTGTGGCCGAGGGCGACGGCGAGGTCCATGGGGCTGTAGCCGGAATCCGCCTCGACGGTCAGGTCGGCGCCGCCGGCTGGGGGGGGGAGGGAGACCACATGCTGTGTCAGGAGGTGCCACCGAGGGCCACCAAGCAGGGATCCTTAAGGGGACGGCGAAGGAAGATGGAGCCACTGACCAAGGAGGGTGCTGACACTCTTCACGTGGTTCCCCCGTACTGCGTAGAGGAGTGGAGTGCCGCCGTTCTGTAATGCATTGTGGAGGCATACATACGAGTTACCAGCATAGAGTAAGCTGCCATTTTTGTGGCTTATGACCATATAAGGATAGCACAAAATACTACGATTTCTAAAGAGGGAGCTACTGACCAATCACATTCTTTATTTTTTTATTATTATTATTGTACCCAGAATGGACAGACCTACCCAATCATAAGTGTTGATGTCGACTCCATGTTTCAGCAGGAGGTCTACGATGTCCGCGTAGCCCCCGGAACTGGCCAGAGACAGGGCGCTCTCCCGCTCCCATGCAAGTGTTTTGGGATCAGCTCCCTGGTGAAGAAGACCTCACACGTCACAGTGTTTTTCAGAGGGAAAGCACAATTTCGGGATCTATTCATCTTCCTTCTGCTTATCCAGTGCAGTCTTGATGGGCCTGGAGTCTATCCCAGGCAGCATATGGTACTAGTGACGGAACATTCTAGATACTAATCCATCACAGGGCACAGACTCGCACACTATGGACGATGCAGAGGTGCCTTGTCATAAATACTGCAGCCTTCACATACTAAAGGAATTCCGGTAAATATGAGCTACCGACTTGGAAGTTGCACTTGAATGTCTCCTCAACTAACGAAATAACTCTGGTCCCCAGGTTCCTTAGTTGGGACGACCTTTCAAGATGGCGGAGAAGAGGATACAGAACAATGCTATTTATCGTTGTGTCCATAGCAAATGGACTGCTACCGCGGTGCAAAACTATCAGCTTTACGTTTGAGTTTTGTTGCATCAATTTCCTTGTGTGGCATATGCGTTCAATCAAAATAAGATTTTCCCAGGAAGCAGATTAGAAAAAATTTGCATCAGCCAATTTTTCTAACAACAAAGCACTTGAATATGATATACTCCTAATTCTGACTTTGCATGTGGGAAGCTGGACACAGCCAGGGCAGGATTTGAACCTGGTACACATGAACTGGCGATACTGGGCACAGTGCAGGATGAGGACTTACCTTCTCCAGAAGGAACTCCACCACGGCGATCTCACCAAACGCTGCGGCCCACATGAGTGGTGTGAAGCCCCGCTCGTCCGGACTGTTCACCAGAGAGCTGTCTGTGAGCGTCAAATTCAACATGACCAATCACCTTCCATCGCTAGCCATCCAATCAGAGCAGTCGCACATTATTGTGTTGGCCAACTTTTAGCTTCGTGCTCCCCCCAAAAAAATTGCTTTGCTGCAGCATTCTTGTTTATCTGTCAGCAGCAGCGCATTAAACACAGAAGCGGTGTCCTTAACTGCATGCAGCGTTACTCGGATTTATGAGGGAATGCGCCGCTGCAGCGATCAAACGGCTGTGAGGACTCGGAAGGAAATGTTGTATGATACGTTACAAGGCTACAGGCAGGATTCAACATCGCAAAGGCAAAAAACGGGTGGAAACCATAACTGAAAAATGAATACAGGCACACAGATAAGATTCATCCTGTACCCAAGGGGTATGAATTATTCACACGTGTGCACATCATTTTCTCTGATGCTGAAAAAGCAGGTTAAAAAATGTGATAACTACTAATGATTAAAGAAGCTGCTACTATATTAACAATATTTAAAATTTTTGCTTATAAAAAACTGTAAACATTCTGTAAATACTATTATGAGTGCTATTAATATATGTTTCAAGAATGGTCAATGCACCATAAATTTTGTTATGGAGAGACAAAATAAATGACGAGTTTTAAACGAGAACGGTGAAGTTTTGGGAAGAGCGATCGAGGCTGCATCGAGTGTGTCGCTCTCGGTGGTTCAGAGCTCAGTGCCGCTCAGCAGGACCATCGCGGTGACACTAGTGGCTGTCAGATGGAGAGCTATAGGGCTGACCTTTGCTCAGGTGTCCTGCCACCTGTGTGAGGTCACCCTGTGCCGCCAGCTGATGCACTGAGAGCGCTGTTGAGAGACGGGGACATGAGGGACGACGTTACGTGGGACGTGAACAAACCGAGCACCGGGCCTGTGATGTAAGGAGCCGCCCGCGGAACCCAATTCGGCACCAAAAGGCTCTGAATGCATGTAGCCGGTGATGACATCAGCTAAAATAAAGCTACTGTAATCCACATCAGGCCAACTGAAATGGTCTGAATCATTAAGCAGAATGAGGTCCAGCACTTTCATGATAGCTAAATCGATTAAGGAATTCAATCAGTGTATGAACCACTTAGGGTGTCTTAATGAGTCTTTCTAGTGACCAAATTATTAACTTTAAATAGAATTAAACTCGATTAGACACGTATCTAAATTGCATATATAAGAAGTATATGGATAGCACTATGACATTCCATAAGGAGTAGAACAAAAAACATGAATTTTGTAGGTAAAATTATACTATTGGGTCTCAATGACCTAGTTGACAATGTACTGGCTTGTCTTAAAGAGATGGCTATTGCCTCTTACTGTCCAAATTCGCGGGTCGCGCCGTGATCTCATTCCCGCGCTGTCTGTTGGTCAGGGTGGTCGAATGTTTAAACACTCCCTCGTCTTTCTGGGTTTCAGAACCGGCCGCTAAACCTGTTCAGTGGGGATTAAGATTGTAAAGACTGTGGTGGAAACAAAAGTCGCAGGTTTCACAAAAGTGTACCAGGTACAGCAAATTCTATATAACATCGGCTCATATAACAGATGTGGAAAACCTCTATTTAACACCATTCAGTGAATATATGTTGTTCACATTATCGATGGCAAGGTTACAAGTTCAGATCTCAAGGGTCTGATGCAAGCATGATGTAGGTACAGAGAATCAAACATACAGAACTATCCATCCATTAAGACGATTCCAATAGCTCCTGAGTGTCAAGGGGCCTACAAAATTTGGAAAATTGGTTTGATAATGATAATGTAGAAATAAATGAAGGAAATGGTAAGGCAGCGGGTCACTTTACACGACAAAGGTCACGGGTTCAAGGCTGGACGGTGCCTTAGCAATATACACATACAAAAAAAAAATTAAAAAATGTTACTAAAAATGTTTTTCAACATTAATTACGTTTAAGGGTGTCCAGGTTATAATGTTACCGTGCTGACATTGACAAGCATAGAAATTAACGTTCTATTAAGAATGCTCTGTGCCAACTTTTTGGGAACCTTCACATAAGGTTGGCTGGAGCTCTGGAAATTTTCCCTGTTATCTGGTAACTGTTGAGCTACCACACAAGAGAGTAATTAAGTACATGTAAAAAAAAAAAAATAGCACTACTCACTATTGCTGATTGGTGATCCGCCGGTCAGCGAATGAGCGAGGTCTATTTCATTACTGATATCTGTTGGTTCGATGGGATACAGGTGCAGTACTAGTGTTTCATCGCAGTTTTCACTGTCAGCGTCCTTTGGATCTGTGCTGCTATCCTGCACGATCGGGTCGCTGCATGGTGGCCGCACGGACTCCTGCTGGTCTCCGCTGCTCTTTTCCATTTCGTCCTAAGAATATGCAGCCGATTACAGAATTTTCTAACTTTGGCCGATCAATAAAGATGGTATATGCACGCGATCGCTTCCGAGACGAAACAACGATTCATCCAATTGGTAAAAGTATAGTTTAAAGATAATTTAACTTTGGGATGGTTCCCACACATGCACGTGATTTAAAGGTATCAGGTATTTATATATGTGTGTAAGACACCTTTAGCCCGTGCGAAAGGGATGTGATCAGTCTCGTGGCGAATATGATATATAAATATAATTTCTCCTTTTAATTTCCAGAGTACAGGGCACACTGCCTGGCCATATCACGCAGCTACGACAACCAGCTACGCAGCAGAGCTAGCATGCTATGCTAAATAGCGTTCAAAGTTAATGATTAACTTATTTTTATAGATTTTATTTATTTATTTTACCTATGGGGCGTGAAAGTCGGCGAAGATCAGCAGGAATGACAGCGCGCTCACTGCAGCAGTTTCGACCATTGTAGGTTCCTGCCATTAACTTCCTGATTTTTCACCAAAAGTGAAACTAAATAAATTTAGCTAGGAATCCCATGATGCATTTGAACCCGATTATTTACCCGATTCACAATCGCGCTGCATTTAAGCCCGGTGTAAGTATGTATTTGTTCATGCTGATGGTCTCCGTTTGCGTTTTTTGGCTGTTTATTACAGCGCACAAATAAATCAGCGCTGTGATGCTGTATGGAGGCGGCCAAGCCCCCCTGGACCGCGGCCACAAACGCCACTTTTGACACTCGATCCCCATAAATCGGAATTAATGACGCCAATCAAAAGCGATGACAACGAGCCATATAAGAAGTATATGTTTTAATATTAATGTGCTGTTGGATAACCAGCCAAATGGGAAATTACTATGAAATGACTATTAGAAGCGGTGTTTCCAGTCGCCCCCTTCAGCATCCACAGGAAGGCTTTGTCCGTGTTTTGCTCCATCAGGTATTTTACTGCTGCTAATTGTTTGGATCGGTATGCTATGAGATCACCCATTTGCTGTACTATGTATGCTTATTGGCGCAACATGTATAATAATGATAATAATTATATAAAACTGCATGCATCACTACATAGACCTCCACCAGCTGCAGAAAAAGTATTCGTCCTTCAGCTATAACATAATGAGTTCTTAGTATAAATATACTATTAATTAACGTATAGTCCAAAAACGTATTACATAGTTTTAAAAACTCTGTAGTTCAGGTGTCAAAACACAAGGTGCCCGTTGTGCTCTTTTTAACTATAATTCTTAAATGTATCTTTTCTGTTAGTTTTGGTGCCACATTTTCAATTTTATTGTCTTTAAAGAAACAGGTTTACAATACACACAGTAATCACTGCTTGTAATATACTATACTATGTAATCTACACATTGTGTAATACAATAGTTTTATTGCCGTTCACGTAGACCACCCTTGGTCAGTAAAGCTCAAGACCAACACTGAAAACACATAAAGCCTTAACTGCTAATTATGAACTTACACATATGTTTTTTACTACTTAAATAGTGCCTTCAAGTTCACCTACATGATTTACATTAAAATAAAGCAAAGCTCGGTATGGCAGAACAACAGTTTTTACTGAAAAAGGAAAACCTTAACACTATTATTAATACTTCTTACTTTTTAAGTGTAATTATCGTTCCGACAATTATTGTTCCCACAGTATATCAAAATAAGGCAAGAGGCAGGCCCTGATTTAATCAGCACACACATCATGTTCTCCAACTATTGGAAATAGTTATTGACAAACACCTTTGTACTCTGGCTCATTAAATGCGAGGCAACTTGAATACAATAAAAGAATCATCCTTCTATGCATTTTTCACTTCTACTTGTTCAAAAGAGCCTCGCAGTAACATCACAGAAGAAGAATTTCACTGGAAATGTTTGCTAATCGTCCTGTTCGACAGATAATTAACTGTATACCTCAAGGCGATTAGAGTATGTCGATAGGAATTCAGTTGCCCGACGGTTGAAATGGAATTCACCGTCAACATCAGGTGTAAACAAACATTGAAGAGTTCAGGGAATACCGGTGAAAGTGAAACTGAGGACATTCCCTAGCCAGCCAACACAAAAATGAGAGGGTGGCATGTTTCCTGGATGTGCCGCTCGTAGGGTCGGCCCAGGTCACACCAGAGTGGAGTCTTTGCCTGCGCCACCTGTCTTCCGTGCTAGCACAGTCCTCATCTCGCTGTTGACGCCGTTCCAGGGCTTGGACTGGGTCTGCAGCAGCCCGGACTCGGCCGACAGGGTGCGGTGCATCCTGGGAATGCTCACGCCGCTGCTGTAGCCCTCCTTATCGCTGCCACGACTCTGGGCGACACCGGACGGTGAGTACTGGTGCTTGAGTGGCTTGGGGTCGGCGCAGGGCGGGTAGGAGAGCTGGCGCTGGAGGCTGGGGCGACGGCGGTGCTGCTTGGGCTCGCCGCCCACGTTGGCATCAGAGGCGTGGACGACGGTGCTGTCGTCATGCTCGTTTCGGTACATGGTGTCAGGGAGGTCGCCGCGGTACCGCCTGGCCGTGTTCGCCGCGCATACCAAGGAGTGCGACACCGCGGCCAGCAGCAGTAGGATGCCACACGCCAGGACGCAGGCGCTGGTGATGCCCGTCTCCATCTCGAACACCAGCAACATGTAGATGGACATGGCTATAGGGGGGAGGGAGCAAACTGCTGAAATCAACTGATCTCCTCGTAATGGTGGCGCACGGCTTTTGCATGCCGGTCACGTGTCTATGTTTCTCACAAGTGCTCCAAACACATGTACCTTTGCTTGTCACTGGGGCTGTAATATCAAGGGTCCGCCAATTGTACCCTATGGCTGTAGGTAAATAAGGTATAGAAGTGGACTCTGAGGAACATGTTTTGTACCATTGGGCGTACATTAATGTTGTTTGTACCTTGGGATGTTACTCAGAATCCATTTCTCTACCTTTAAAGATACATTTACCTATAACTATAGGGTATAATTGGCAGACCTTTGAGGGTATAGACCCAGTGACAAGCAAAGGTACAAATTGGTACTCTTTTCTGACAGTATGGTTAAGGGAGCCACCATATTTAAATTGCAGATCGGGCCTGTGATCATAAGGTAGGTGGTTCAAATCTCATAGCCGGCAGAGTAATTTCACTGTTGGGCCCTTGAGCAAGGCTGTTGCTCCATGGACTGGGTGACCCGACTCTCAGATCCTTTTTTGTACACTGTCAGAAAAAAGTACCAATTTGTACCTTTAAGGGTACAATTACTTGTCACTGGGGTCTTACCCTGCCAATTGTACCCTAGCTGTTGGTAAATGTACCTTTTAAGGTACAGAAACGGACTCGGAGGAATATTTTTTTACAATTGGGGGTATATTATTGTTGTTTGTACACTGGGGGAACAAAACTGTATGTTGTATGTTGCTTTGGACAAAAACATCTGATAAGACAATGTAATGTATGTGTGCATGTACCCTACATTATACTGACATCCCACATTGGTTGTTCTGCTACCTCATACTGTCTAAGCTGCCTGCTACTTAATACTCCATAAATGGATGGTAGGTGGATAAATGAGCAGAACCAATTTTTGCATGCCAGATCACCGATCGTGTAATCTGCACAAAAACGGCTGTGAAGCCACACAGCCGCAGGGCAGATGGGAAACACGCTCCTCAGTGTTATGGAGGCGTACTTTGAGAAAGTCTGTCCCTGCAAGCAGAAGATCTTATCGCACTGCATGAGTAGGGATGATGTCTGGCAACATTACACAGATACTGCAGGAAAGCCCAGATCTCAAAAGACAGATGCTTTGGAAGACGCAGACTGCCAGACTACTGAGTAATGTGAGACCACTACTGTTACAATTTTTATTTTTTTATTTAGTTTTTATATTCAATTCTCTTTTAAAATCCAGTTTAGTTTTAGTTAGGTTTGAGTGTGGTTTTATTAGTTTTCATTTCAAAGATATACTTCTAATTAGTTGTTAAATATCTTAGTTTCAGTTTACGTTTTAGTATTTTTATTTCTAGGGAAAGAGCAAAGGTTTAATGTGTCTGACCTTCTGAGAATCTTACATGAATACGCAGTGCACATTATTCACTGTTCTCCTCAAAATGGGCAAAACAGGTTCCCGGCATTATTAATGGTAATTAAAGATAAACAAATCATTATTTTAACTAAACAGTATTTTAAAATGGTAACTGAATAGGGTGACTACATTATCCATGGGCGACTCTATGAACTACTTAAGGTTTTACAAACTACTTTAGAACTGAATGGCTCCTGTGTTTGGCCAAACTGTTTGGTACCCTTGTGCTTTTACTGGTTTGTTTCCTTGATTGAAAGACTCATGCAGTTGTTTCACATTAACATTACTGACACATGCATGGTTACAGGAGACTGACCAATCAGCACACAGCAGGAACTCAGTGCTAAAGTGAAATCCGGGTCCTTTTAATGGAAATTGTTGAAATGTTAGTTTACAAACCCCGTCGTGGCTCATCCTGTCCCTCCTGACATGGGTTAGGTGTCACCCTATAACTGAAAGTATTTTACGTTTGTATTTTATTTCAGTTAATTTCAAAAGCGATACTTATAGTTTTCGTTTTGTTGTAGTTTTTTTATTCATCGTATTTCAGTTTACAAATTTTTTTTATACAAGTATAGTTTTCCTTAGACATAATTACGCTGTCTGAGACTTAATGACGTGGCCCCCTAGTGGTTCGTCGTGGGAAACAGTCCTTTGCTATAGAGCGCTGAGCCGGAGCGTCACTACATCACCCGATTCCTGCGGCAGGCGGTTCCTCGGGGGCCGAATGTGACACTGCACCGAGCTTTGAGTTCAGAAGGATGTGGTGGCTGGCCAGCACGTAGCCACTAGTGTCTCAAAGGTGCCTCTTAAGTAATGTGAAATCCAGTCGCTGAAACCAGCTGCATTTAGAGGTCAAAATATTACTTTCACAGTTACTTCATTGTTTTGATGTGGCAACATCAGTTGAATGAGTTTTTTTCACCACTATTTTAAAGGCTGTATTTGCAAAAATTTTAATTTCTAAGTAGAAAAAAATGTTATAAAAAATACGATATACTTTATATAGTGTTCTTACATAAGGTGATGTTCAAATTATTGTCCTACCTGCAAGGAATACAGAAACACCGAAGCAGAAGAGTCCAACAGCCACATGTCGGACGGCCCTGGTGTCCAACAGAAACCAGTCTGCTCTGTGTGCGGAGGGATACAATAACCTGTCACTTTCAATGAAATAAATAAAAAAAACTAACAAAAGATATTTGAAAATGTACTCATGTGGAGCTATGGAGCTTTTTCGAAGCGTTTCACCGTCACACGTGACCATTTATAAAATAGATGTAGGCTAAGTTATTTCTTTCAAATTCGCTACAAAAAGAAATAATACGCCAACTGTGATTTGCAATTAATTAGCATTCCAGTAGTACGCTGTGCACTAATCTCAAAGTTTCGTTTTGCTTGCACTATGATTTTTCAAATTGTTTTACAACCTTCTCCGAAGTGAATTTTACTCGAAGGCGAGAGTATGAAATTCCTTGGCTCATCTGACGCGCTGCCGTGCGACTCTATTTGTAATTGGGAGCGACGTGAGAGAGACGGCGGACGTGAGCTGACAGCCTAATGAGAAAGGGCCATTGTCCGCGGGAGGCTCGGGTTAGACGTGCAGAGTGGATCCATGCTGCAAGACTGCACAGGGACCAGCATGTGCCACATTTAAAAAGCATTTAAAATTGCATATTCTGCACGATCCGTGGTTATTGATAGACTCGTGCATGTAGAAGAAGCCTACTATTAAAAATCGAAGTTGCAAAACTTGAAACAGTTATTCCAGGGGACATCTTAACACAGTAGTTTTTCCATCAATAAACAAACAAAACTTGATAACATCTGCATATTTAAATTATATAAATGCAGTGCAATGTATTGTATAGTCTGTCTTAGAAATTAAATAACTAAACTCCATTGTCCTATACTCCGAAATGCCATGAAAATACTATTAGTATAGGCAACAATATTAGTAGAGAAATATAGGCTGCTACGGTTAAAAAGTAACTTCGGTCATACAGTACCTGCCGGTATTCTCCTCATCTCTGCAAATGTCGGTAGTGAAGTAGCTGTGAAGCAGGCAGACCAGCACAGAGCTGAGGTTGAGCATCAGAGATAAGGCCGAGAGCACCGTGGACACCGGCATCAGCGCAGCCAAAACCTCCGTGGGAAAAACCGATGACTGTGGAGCGTGATCCTTAATCCCCGCGCTATGCGATTGCAGTTGAAAAATCAGGATGACTGACAATAAGGACATAATTATAGAGAGAATCCCCAAAAATGCCAGTACGGTTAGAGATCGCTGGCTGTACGTACACGCCATTTTCCTGAGGTGGGATAAGTTTCTTCCAGTCTGCTTCGGAGAACTTTTTCTGTTTAAATGATAAATATTTATCCTTCAGGAAAGCCCTCTTCACCGATTTTTTTTTTTCTGTCGAAATACGGTTTACCATTAGCAACAGTCAGATTCTGTGATAGATTGACGCGTCCCTTAAAAACGCCAAGCCTGCGGATGCCGGGCTGCCCAGGGAGCGCGAGGCTGCCGCTTGGACTGAGCATGTGATGTATTTCAAACCCCATAGTTTAGAAGTTCCCAGCAACAATGGACTTTTCAGTCGGATTCACCTCCACAGTGCATTGACGTTTTCTGTGTCCAGCCATTTTCAACAGCGCTGTAGAATAAAATAAGATGAAATAAGGTTTAATCGTGTGTTTGCATCCAACGACTACATTTAGTGTTATTATTAACTTATTTATTTTCTATCCCAAAATCCGTTGTTTTTAATTTAGGAAATATGCAGTAAACACACATCATAAATAACATTGGTTTAGGCCTATTCTTTCAAAGCAAACTAACCTTTCTTATTTCTAGCAATTTTTAGGACTTCAGCAAAAACACTAATAAAGTTGTTTTAATTATATAATATATTTCATTGGATCTATGTGGATTTATTGAAAATAGATATTCTAATTTCAATACAGTATTTCCATTTCACTGCTTCCTATTGTTTCCAAAAGGCCAACATGCCGAATCTATCTGAAATTACCCACAATTCCCCGACAGTAAAATTTCTCTTCTCAACACTTAAAATATCTTCCGTATAATCTAATTAACTCTTTTGTTGCCTTGGAAACAGATTCTTCTTTCCCAAGCAGACAGTTGCATGGTGAATGTGGCCAATTTCAGATCATTTTTGCCAGGCCGCAAATATGATTCATTGTGCAGACAAATCCGCGTTTGATGAACTGCAGCGTTACAGCTTCTGTATTGCATTTGTAGGTATTGTGTGTCTGTGTGGCACCTCCTGTTATCAACACAGTGATTAGTGAGCTTTCAGGAACCCTGAGAGCAAACCCTAGTATATATGCTGTATTGTAGGAATCCTCAGTGAGTCCCATATCATTTAGGACAATGAAACAGAGCTCAAATTATTATTATTATTATTATTATTATTATTATTATTATTATTATTATGTAGTTGCTCTCCTGTTAGGTGGTCATGGGAAAAACTGCAATTTCTCTAATGGTCTGTGGGAGGCAGTAATATCCATGAAAGTTTTTAAAGAAAGAAAATTGATAATTTTGTTTATATTAACATTTGAAATTGGGAATGGGAATTAGGTAACAGATAAATGGTTAATTTAATCAGAAGAATAAACCAGAACTACTATTAATATTTGTATTTAAACGGTGATCTTTAATACTAGTTATTACTAACTTTAGCTAATTCAATGCTTAGACGGAAAATGGGAAGAAACTAGGAAGACATGTTCAGGTAAAGTGTAGTGAAGCAGTGTGTTGATTAAAAAAAGAAAAAAAAAGAAATGGTTTTAGATTTATTAACCACACTATTAAATATGGAAACGTGAGCTGTAACCAGGAAAGGAAGCATTATACATATTATTTGAAATTTTACAAATATGTAATCCAGTTGTATGATGGGGAACCAAATTACAGAAACAAAATGTATTAACGTCAAGGACCTTATGAAGAGTGGGGCCACGTTTTGCCCTCAGAACAGCTTCAGTTCTTTGTGGAATCCTGCGCCATGTCCTGAACTTGGACTTGCTTCCAGTTCTGAGCAGGGTGCTGTGGGATACTGGACCATATACTTCAAGTAGAAAGCAGTCCAGGTCTTTGAGGAATGAAGGGAGTGGAAATCTACTTAAAACTGGCCATACATGTTCAGTGATGTTTAGATCAGGTGTTTCCGTAGGCCGTGGAAGGTGTTTGATTTCATCCTGGCCTTCATGACCACACTCTCTAATTTGTTTAGCACTGTGTATGGAGACAGAATCATCTTTGTGTATGGGAACATTATGAGGGAACAGTGTCTGTACTATAGGGTACATCTGGTCATATTCTCTGGCCATTATATGACCACGTAGAGTACTCATCGTAGCTAATGACTCCTACAAGATGGCTGTCCATATCACGCGACATAGTGCATTTTGGCTTTCTCCAAACATAAACCCATCTGTATATAGAAAAAAGACTGAAGGGTGACTCATCAGACAATTTTAATTTGTTTTCCGTTGCTCAGGGGTTCAGGTTTTCTGCTCCTTGCACAGCGTTACGTGCCTTTGACCTTGACCTTGGGTATAAGCAGGGTCCAAAATGGCAGCCGTGCAGTCAGGGGTGCCGTAAAGTATGGGAAAGATAGGACGATTCCAGGGGACCCTGAGTGACTGTGGCCCTCAAACATTTTGAACATAATCTGATTGATCTGTATTGGGGGACCAATACAATGTGCTCTTATGGGGCCCAAAATCTGTAGGGACACCCCTGTGTGCAATATATTTTAGCTTTGTGGCGCTCACAGCATAGTGGGTCACAGAGGTGCTGGTTCGGATCTCATATTAAAGAGTTAAAGGTCCATCTATTCACACTGATGAGCCTTGACCTGCACCTGCTGATGCTCATGTGTGAATTAAGCTGTCATGATTTCTGAGACTGTTCCCATTGGGACAATCAGTAATTTAGCCGTTTATATGGTTGGAACGCCTTCAGTTGGGGCTGTGGCTGTTTGGACTCTGTTATTTGCCTCTAGCTGTCTTGAAAAATTAGATATCAAAGTGTTAATTATCAGACTGCATTTATAGTTGCCACATACTGCTAATTGGTTTTTAACTTAATACGATTCACATTTGTCACTGTTTCTAAATTCGATTTAGTTGCTACAGAGTTAAATTACTTTTTCATGTGGTGTTTCCATCATTTTGTCCTCCCCCCTGTATATAGAACTTGCTGGGTAATGTTCTTCACTTATTTTTGTCCCAGAGTTTCTATTCCTGAACCTGTATGGAAATGCTATATTATTCACCTATATTTACCATTTTAATTTCGGCTTGAATTTCCAGGCTTAAAATGCCCGACAGAAGTTGGTAGGTCCTTGCCGTCACTGGCACTAACCCCTTGGCGTTTTGTGACTCGTCGACTCCTTATTACAGTATGGAACCAGGCCGTAGTTACCACTATGATACTTTGTTACTGCTGCTGGCAAAGACATCAAGCACAAGCCTGATGACCCACAGCAACAAATTCCCACCAAGAGACTTAGATTCCATCATACGTCAGATACCACGACACAGGATATGGCTCTTCGGCGGCCTCCACAGAGACAAGCCAGCATAGATTCTGGGGGCAGAACACTGAGGACACCCTTGGGATTCACTGTACTTACCCCCCAGCAGTGAGGGTAATAGACAATGAGGTACATGGTACAGTTCTAGCTCGGAATGAGATTCATTATATGGTCCCTTCCCTTAATACAACCCAAAGCAGACCAGACAGTTTGCTTTATTGAGAAGGAAACACAGACTGACCATAGCTAACCACATGAGTTGGTATTCATCTTCCAGACATGTTTGAGACAGCAGGGACAGTCAATCCTTTAAGCAATTGGTGGCTCAGGACCTTGCTGAGGGGCCCAACAGCAAAACCACTTTGTTGACTTTGGGATTTGAACCTACAACCTTCCAATCACAAGCACGACATCCTAACCCACTGAACTGGGGTTGTTGACGGGCATTTAGAGTTTCTGTATAATCAACAAAAACAATGGTGGTGTTTCTTCTTCTTTTAGTTAGTGTTGCATTTATTTATTTCATATTCACGTCTTTATGAACTACCTGTGTTTTCACAGCTGCAGGTAACTGATCCCTAACCAGATTCAACATCTCTGGGGCTTCTGAAGACCTCTGACCAGAAATGTGGCAGCATGAAAACACACAGACATCTTCTTGCTAGACTTTGCTTGGCCTGGATTTGTGCATTTCTGAAACTGGAGGATCAGTAGATATTGGCCTGGGGACAGTCAGTGGCTCAGTGGACTGAATCTCTATGCCTGTGATCAGAAGATTGCTAGTTCAAGACCTGGCCTCAACAGAATAGTCATATATCTGTGGGCCCTTGAGAAAGGCCCTTACCCCCCCCCCCCAGCTCCTAAAGTGCTATGGTATTGGCTACCCCCCATATTTACCCCAAAGCTATTGGGAGCAAGATGGGTTCAGTGAGAAAAAGCATTCTAATGTACTTGTGCAAATGGCAAATACAGCATGTTTGTTGTGATGAACCTGTTTGTGATGCTCAGTTTCTAGCTAGTCAGACCTTTGCTAAATCTTTTTGTAACTTTGATGTCAATAAAGTTTTGCAGGAAAAGCCGGACCATGCTTGTCTAATGAATCAGCTGGTCACATCCTTGCTGTGAGGCTTCTGCATAGCAAATGACCCCCCAGCATGAAGTCACTTGCGTCATAGTTAAGTCTCAAGTACCAAATGTAAGGCCAGTTTACAAGGGATTTGTTTACAAGGTTAGTAAGTCCTTTAGAAGTGGAAACGTATTTTGAAGAATGAAGCAAAATGTTTATAAGGGTAGCAGCTTTTAGCCAGCGAACTAATCACTGTGACGTGGAGCTGGGTGGATGAAAATGGACTTTTATTCTCTTCCTAAGGGATGAGGGGGGTGGGGGTTACACTCAGGGGTCTCGCACTACTGGGTGTCCAGTTGGAGGCTTCCAGTGTGTTTGTGGGCAGACGGACAGGATTTAAGTTACGGGCGACTGAGAGTGATCAGAGAATGTGTCCTTGTCGCCAGACTTTGTCCCACCTCAGAATCCCTCCACTTTACAATTTCCTGACTCTTAAGTGTAAATTTGTGATCAGGACATGCATTAAAACAACAGTTATCTGTAAAATGTGGCACATTCAAAGTTTCGTTATCTTTAAAAAGAGTCCTACATCTAAAAGTAAAATAATTTTTTATCATCATTCCAAATATACAGGTGGTTAAATCTACCAGAGGCACATTTTCAAAAGAAGCAGTGATCAGACAAAAAAAATAATGATAAATAATAATAATAATAACAATACAACAGAAAACCCCAAATAGCTTATAGATCTTTTGTTATAATGTGTTATACTTCAGTTATTTACAGTGCTGGATATTTGTTCTACTCATGACTATGCTGTATGTGTTCTGCAACTTCAGGGTATGGCAGGAACACAGCTAGGATTAACCAGCATCCGACTCTGTTCTCTGCTGCCAGAAATAAGACAAACATTTGTTTATTAAAAGTACAGTTCAGTTCCATAAACCTACAGAGGAAATGTATGTTTCTGCAATAAGGCTTGGAATCGTGCCTCTTTAAGCTGTGACATTCTCATGTAGTGAAATAGTAAGCCTTCTTCTGATCTTGCAGTATTTCAGGACAAGTTAAAGAAACCAAACAGATACATTTTTGGCTGTCCTATTCAATAGATTAAACTTGATCTGAATCACAACACAGCTGTACACTGCGTCAAATTTTATTTAGAAAAACAGTGCTATTTTTATTTCTGCTGTAAAATTAATTACAAATAGGTAACTGGGAAAGCCATCACTACCTAAAAAAGAATAAGTAGTTTACAGTGGTTTCCTTTCATAATAAATAACTCTATAGCTCATGACTTCTTAACATGTCTTATGATACTTTTCCAGTTTCCAATGTCTTATGCGAATTTTGGCACAGAATTCGTTTTCTGGAAAAATTTCTAGAAAAATGGATGGTGAAATCATTTATTTCACCATTTTTCTGGATTGACAGCCTATTTAAACATGTGACACCTGTTTTGTGAACATACGCGTCTTTAAGGTAAAGGAAGAGAGATGGATGAGTAAGTTCCCTGATGTAGATTTTCTGACTAGAGCATGTTTTTGGGCAGCAAGACGTAATCTTCTGGTATAGGCGATCTTTACCGCCGATGGACTATAGGTAGAATGGAAAATAATGGTGGCAGGTAGCAACGAAGAGGCGAGATTCTGTTTTAATGTACGTTCCTGGTTTCTCACCCAATCAGTACCTGTAGGAGCCATTAGAGGCAGCCTCTAGCTTTGGTTATTTGCCACCATTGCACAAGACCACGTTCGACTCCAGCGATCCTCATGACGGCTGTACTTCACCCTAGCATGACAACTGCATCACTACAGTCATGCTGGTAACAAAGAAAGGGCCGGGGTACCAGTAACCTGCTGGAGTCCTTAAACCACACGGCGCTGATACCGGGCGGCTTAGCGCCTCGGAGGAGGTGCTGGTTTTTCTCAGGGCTGCTGTGAAGGAGATAAGCCGGAGATGCAACAAATAACTGTATTCATACGTGCACGCTAACCATAGGGGCTATTTCTGAGCCGGGCGGCCCCACCACATACACCAAAATGTCAGCCGCCGATGCAGTCAAAAGCAGAAGTGAACGGTGTCAGGAAGACAAAAAAAAAAAGGACCTTATTCTGAACCGTATCCAGAAAGAATGCACTTTATTCTTAAAGCTATTCACTCCCCAACACCTTAGTTTCCGAGCTGCAAATGTAATGTTAACATGTAAAATTTAACCTTTAGTAAATGGAATGTTAACATGCAAATATTGTGTTTGACCATTGTTCAGCATCATTCTGAACGTCTTGTTGTGCGTGCGTTTGTCTCAATATGAAGTACAAAATGTTTGCAGGGGTAGCAGCCTTTGGCCAGTGAACTAATCACGTGAAGCTGGGTGGGTGAAAATGAACTTTAGTTCTCTTCTTAAGAGATGATATGAAGGAGGGGGGGGGGGTTTCTCTCAGGGGTTACGTCTTAGGAGTGTAGCACTACTGGGCGTCCTGATGAAGGCTTCCAGTCTGTTTGTGGGCAGACAGACAGGATTTAAGTTACGGACGACTGAGAGTGATCAGAGGAGGCGGCTTTGTCGCCAGACTTTGTCCCACCTCAGAATGCCTCCAATTTTCTGACTCTAACGTGTACATTTGTGATTTTGTTCGTAAAATGTCACATCCAAAGTATCGTTTTAATAATAATAATTTTTTATCATGATTCCAAATATAAAGGTGGTTAAATCTACTGGAGGCACAGTGCTGGATATTTGTACTACTCATGACTATGCAGTATGTATTTTTCAGTTTCAGGGGATGGCAGGAGCACAGCTAGGATTAACCAGCATCCGTCTTCTCTGCTGCCTGAAATAAGACAAACATTTGTTTATTAAAGATACAGTACATTTACAGTACATTTCCATAAACCGACAGAGGAAATGTATATTTCTGCTGACGCAGCTTTGCTGCACGTAGTTTTGAAAACCCAAAGGTTGCCCGTATCCATCCCCAGCTCACTTTGGCCTTTTGGATGGTGCTGATGTCTAAGCAGTTCTGCTTCAACTTGGACGTGATCCGGTCTGATCTGCACATGGAATTTCAGTGTAGCACTGCATGGGACACAGTGGTGGGATTCACCTTGCGGACGGAGGAATTTCACACCCCACGTGGGAGAAGGGCCCCCCCACCGCCTCATTTGAAGGCCTTTCCCTGTGTACCGTCCGTACGCCTGTGTAACTAAAAAAAAAAACATAACCTACATACACAATCCCCTCACATACATACTCTTACATGTCACCATGTACGGACGTCCTATAATTGTCACAAGCCACCTCAGGTTTTGAAGCATTAAACATTAAATAGGAAAAGCCTGTACGCTGTATCATGAGTCCTTCATAACAGACGATGAGTCTGGCTTTAGATCTACTGTTACTTATTACTTAACCATTAAATGAATCGTTCTGCTGTAGAAAAGGGCTAATATGGCCAAATGATAATAATAATAAATGCCGTTGTAGGTCCTCTTGTGATATGTGATTGTTTATACTAGAGGTTGTAATACGTATGAGGTCAGCCTGTTTAAACAGAAAATAGGCTTGGTATTTTATATATAATACATCAGAGAAAGTGGGTATAAATCGGAATGGAGGTTTTTGTCCCCAGTATATACGGAGCATTACGGTAAATATCGAGCACCGTTATCTTGGAACGGCTGTAATAACCGTTGCGTAGCACATTCATTCATCCATGTGCTAAAAGAGCTCTACTATCGCAACATTAACACGTGCTTCCCATCAGATACTTCGGGTGATGCTTCGTAATTTGTCCATTAATCATCAATGGGCATTTTAATCTCTATTACGGAAACTGTAATATTTTCAGTCTTGAGAAATGGGAGCCAAGTGTGATGTCTATTAAAGCAGTACTTTTTAAGACTGTGCTATTTATATTCTTGGCTCCGGTGCCAATTTGTGTATGTGTGTTTGTGTGTGTACACGTATCCCTAGATAACGAGCTGTACTTTCATTCATGATTACTGGATATGGCTAATGGAAATGTGAGTCATTGAAAACTTCTGTCGTGCACAAAACAAACCATTAAATATACATAGGAATGTAAACACATAGTATTAACCTGCCTTTTCTGCGTTTCATTTAGGCCTACTTGCTGATTCCATATTAATTCTTGTTAAATTCATTAGTGGAGAAATATAATAAAACTCTGCACAAGATATTTGTGACATCTGGTTATAAATATCTGTATTTCAGAATAAAAATTAAATTCAATAATAATGATTTTCGTAATAAAATAGCTTCTCCCGCCGTCAAATAAAGGTACCACAAAATGAAGCACTCTTCAAGCGTTCATCACCCTAAACTTTCAGAAACCAGTAGTCAAGTTTTTCCTCAAAACGCATTATTTATTTGCTGTAAATAACTGTGGCACTTAATAGTTCATTGTATGATTAATCGATATTTTATATCTAGCACTTAAACTAGCAATAGAGAAAATCCTGCACAGTCAAGCTAGTCTCATCTCTTAAAACGCTCGCCATTAAAGTGGGTTGCATTATATATGTGGACGTACGTGAGCAAACGGGCCCAGAGAAAAAGAGTAATTTTAGCTTCTGCCGTGAAGGTGCGGGAGAAGAAAAAGTAGGCGGTGGATCGGGGCTTTGGGATGAGCCAATGGCACTTTCCGGGGGGCCGATTCATGCTAAACGGGAAGCGCCCTGCGGCCAACTGCAGCTGATAGCGTGGGATTTGCGTTCAGCGCCGCAGAACCACCGTGCATCGGCAGCATCAGGTGGTTTCTCACAAGCAGCCTAGCATCTCAGCTCGTCGTAGCGGGTGAAACGTTCGGCTTTTAATAATCACGTTAAAAACGAAGTTCTTCTCGCCGAGAAAGAAAAATGCAGCGATGACACCGCCACACTTTTATCTTAGGGGTAAATAGCGATTTGTTTTGATGATTAAATCTGTTATGCGATCTGCAGGTTAAATATTCGGGGACGAACACAACTTTGTACTGGAAGTATACCAAGGACAGGTGAGCAAACCCTGATTGTATGTAACTGTACGGGAAAAGCGTAAATGCTTGCGGACTTTGTGTGTTTGTAGCCGCACTGGGATATTTAAGTTACTAGCGCAACGTTAGTCATCATTAAACCCAGTTTTTTTGTTGTTACTATTATGACACCAGTCATCTTATTTTATATCTCGATCTGCAGTAAACTACTTCTGAGTATTTTTTTTAACCACTAACAACAACAAAGTGCCTCGGGTGGGTATTTATGTCTTCCAGTCTAACGCGTGGACCTGTAAAAGTTTCATATTTTTAGAGGTTTAATTATGGTAGGCTATACATATGATACGTGTACGCGGCCTTGAAAAACACTGTCACTGAAAATACTTAATGTTGTTATTCTCATTATTATTTAATCACGACTTGCGGATCTTTCCGTACGTCTCCCGAAGCTTTCGTCATACTTAATGAACGTAAAGAAAAACCCCACAAGCATCTTCTTTTCTATTTTTTTCTTCTGCAGACCAAAGTGTACTATTATTTTTAATAGACCTGTAAATATAAAATATCATTATCAGCAAACAGCAAAAACAATAAACAGATAGATAAATAAATATATGTTCGCCAGAAATTGTAGGGAGTGTCTCATTGAATGCTGTTATAGAGAACTGTTGGGTGATAGCACCTGACTGTATTATATGATACTATTAAATTATCCGTATGTGACGGGAACGGGTTTGGACACATTGCTTTTTGTTTATTAATTTTAAGGTTTTGACAAATATTTCGTTGACACGCAAATAGGCAGAGCAACAACCTTCCCAATATCTACATCTCATACGAGTTATTTCCTAAAGAGTGATTAATAAGGTCCATAGTTAGATTTTTCTGTAGGATTCCAGCTGATATCTGTATAGTTTTTGTTTAAGAAGTAATTAAGAGTATAGCCGCTACGAACATCAATGATTCAATTTCATTTACAAGTGATGACCAGTTTGAATTAATTTGCTGTTAATGCTCTTGGCTGAAGGTAAAATTCTGCGTAAAATATTAATGATGCTTCTCACAAACACGTTATTATGTCATTTCTTTTCTTATTTTTGGCATTATTATATTTTCATCCATTCACGATATCTCATTTGGTATCTTCCGACCTTTGGTCTTTTGTCCCTTGGCCGTAAATCAAGCTGCAAGCTAAATGTAAAGTTGGGAATGCTGGGATCTCTTGATGTGCTTGTGGTATTGGAGTAGTGTGATAGGCTGGACACCCTTTCCAGGTTGTTCCCTGCCTGCTGTCCTGTGATTCTCAGAATCCAGGCCGGCACCGGAATGTCCCGAAACGGAAAGGCGCTTATTGACAGTGGACTGTGGATTGCTAACATCCTTATTAGCTAGTATTAAGGAATACTCAAGTAACACGACTTTTTGGTTGGTTCTAGATCAGAAATGTAAAATGTTCATTTTTTCCAGGAAACTTCTGGGAAATAAATTCATGTATGACGATGGTCTAAGTATGCAAATATAAAAGTCGTGTTATTGTACAATTTCTGTACACTTATGATAGTATATTTCAATCTGCATCACTTCAGGCAAAGTCTCTGCTAAAGAAATAAATGTTAATATATATATATTTTATATTGTTTTTAAAACACATCACTGTGAACATAATCCTGGACTTAAAAATAAAATTAACAATTTCAAATAATCCATCCATCTTCCACTTATTCAATACAGCATCACAGTACAATTTAAAATAATGAGATTTTCAAATATAGTAACAGGTAGATAGAAAACATGCTTGAAATTTGGTTTATAAATCAGTATCAGTGTAATTATTCAATAATAGTATTTGATTAATCACATACTTTTTCAGTAGCCAATGCGTCTACAACATGAGTAATAAATGTTTATGTTAGATTACAGTTATTTGTCCAATATGTGCCAACTCTGAGTCCCTCATTGAAAATAGGATGTATTGCATTTTTATGTGTAGTTTTGGTTGTACTGAACAAATAGTTTAATATTACAGAACGCCTGCATAGTAACTGATAACTGGCCCCATTATTAATGAAAAAACATTAAACTGATGCCATGTTTCCATTATAAACACTTAGGAACGTTCTGTGACTGGTCTCGAATAGCTTAAACGGGATTTGACAGAGAGCTTCTCAAAAAAATTATAATATTAATATTATGTATTACTTTTATTGCAACATTTGTAACAAATAATTGAAATATAGAGGTCATCTATCTGTCCGTCTGTCTATCTATCTGTCTTGGACACCGTTACGCCCTTGGAGACAGCAGAAATGCTGCCGATTTGCATCTAATCCAGCGCTTGATGAGGGTATGATGGTGGCACTTTGCTGGTCAAAAATAAATGTAATTTTAAAACAGGGGGTTAAAAAAAAGAAGGTACTGGTGTTTTTGCATGATCCTTGGGCGATGATGGGCTGCACGTGGCCCGTGCCGTAACGCTGTTTGTTGTCGAGTCGCCGGCAGTGTTGTCCCGGTGAGTCATTCGGCAATTAGGCTTGCACACATCTCTCGAGGCCGGGGTCTGGGGGCCCAGCCTGCACTGTTTGTGTGTTCCTTTCCACTGTCTGGCCTCTGGGAAGCGATCAGAGGAAACCAGGAGCCCACCTGGGGGTGGGGGTGGGGGTGGGGGGCGACGGGCTGCCACACTGCTGCAATCATTGCGCTATGGTGCCGTTGCGTGATTTACTCGCTTTGCCCCCTGCAACGCACACACGTCTGGTTAAGAGCTTTCGGCCTTTCGGCCTGCGGGGACTTCCTGTTCTCGAGATCCAGAATCTTCCATATAATCGTTTCTGTATAATAGTTCTCCTTAAAAGCGCACTCTAGCTACTTCATACGAAGATTCGTGAGAAATTGCTGCAAAAGTAAAAACAGGTGCACACACATTTTTGATATTTAAGGAGATTTCTGATGGCTTTTTAGTCACGGTAATGTGCTGTAGGGTGTTAGGTGCTTTTTAAATGAGCGTATTCAAACACGGCAGATGAGCTTCTGCTAGCTGCGTGTGGTATGTGATCCCTTTAGTACACTTTGGCCGTTTGAGTCCCTTTAAACACAGATTCGATTAGCCACCTTTCACTCTATCACGGAAACATTCTCCTCTTCGCCTCCATCCAAGCGGAGAAGCTTTAGCCCCAGCAACGAATCTGCAGCCATTAGACCCGTGAGAAGGTAAAGGTTGGCTCTCCAGTGGACAAAGCTGTGAAACCACAATGAAAATAAAAAGTGCTGGTTGGGGTGCATGAGCGTATCCGCCTGTCTGATTGAAATAGAATGACATTCGACGCTGAATGTATCTATAGTTGGTGGTTTCAGGAAATACCATTTGTGCCAGCATGATTGGACGAAAGGGCAATGTTTTCTAGATAAATCTAATCTGTGGGCCCACCGCTGTGACACCCACGCTTAGTTAAACACACAGAGCAGTAAAAGAGGAATGGTTTATAAAAGGATATTTGATATGTTCAAGAAGGATTAAGCTATTACACTTCCAGTAAATTTAGAATGGCTGTGGAATGGCCCTCATACACGGCGCCCCCTGCAGGACGAAAGTGTCGCGCTGGCGTCTTTGTTCCGGGAGGCGCGGGTGCGAGTGCATAGGTCTGGCACTGTAAATACTTTATAAGGAAATGGTGACACGTGGAGCGGATGTCGCAAAATGCCCCGAATGCCAGGGAACGGTGAGCAGTGGCTGGGGGGGGGGGGGGGGGGATGGCCGTCACAGGGGTCATGGGAACACGGGCACCCTGTCCGCAAGCCAGTAGGAAGGCGGACCTAAATATAGAGGAGGCCAGTGCACGTCCGATCCATGGGGAAGATAAATAGGCAAGCGATCCCTGTGGGCCGGCTGGCATGTGGGACCAGGTCGCCCATGGTGGAAGCCGTGGTGGTGCAGAGAGTACCCATAATGCTTTGCAGCTTGGTACTCCTCTGGATAGACACTTCTATGTATCTCAGTACCTGTTGTTAGTTTCTCCTCTTCATCTATTCCATCACTTCTGGTCAGATCTCCTTTCCTCAGTCTCGAAAACACATGGAACTCTCGATTAAAGAACCACATGACTGAACATTCTCCACCGAGGTCCGACACATCCTTACCTTTATCTTTGACTGATTTACATTTCAGCAAAACTGTAAGGAAAAAGTCCTTCAACATATACAAGTGTGTACTGAGAGACCATTTCCTGTTCATTGACATTGACGTGCAGGAGCAGACGGCCGTGGCAGTCCAGAGACATTAAGGACGTATTTAACGGCCTTGCCGGGCATTAATAACCGAAGCCAGCTGGAGGTGCGGTGACGCTACCTGGTCACCACGCGTGGCGCTGTCCCTTTAACGCCTCCCCTGCCCACTGCGCATCTGCGTCCGCTGTCATCTAACATGGGAGAGCAGGGGGCGGCTTGTCAGCTTCTCTTTTCCCTACAAACGCGTCTTTTCTAATCCTGGCTGCAATAATACTACTCCTGCCGTTAATGCCGGCCTGTCCCTGGGGAAGCCCGGACTGACTGGGCGTTGGCTCAGACTAACTTTAGCACGTTTTATTTCCATCCCGGTATAAATACCTATATCGTCCTGTGATGTCTGTCAAACAAAGGCGATGACATTTTCCCACAGGACGTTACTGTTTGGTCTCAGCTTCCATACCTCTGCTTCACTGTGTCCTCCTATGCACTCTGTGTGTGTATTCTGTTCATATTTAAATATGAAATATATATTTTTTTAATAATTACATCAGGTTCCCAGTTTCCATTTCTATTTAAACTTTCCACTCGATAAGTGGAAAAAAGTGGTTCATCAAGTGTCTCGATTCAGGCCTTGCATGTTATGTCTCAGCTGGTTGATGAAATTAATAAAAAGCTAAAGACAAGTGGGTGTAATGGTGCGGAACGCTGGTTTTTTTGTCCACGTACAGGAGGAAAGTGGGAAAATGGGTAGGAAAAAGATTCAGATCTCTCGGATCCTGGACCAGCGAAATCGGCAGGTGAGCCTGTTTTTCCGAGACTGGGTGTTCATGCTTTATTTTTGAGTGTCCTTTTTTAGTTTGAATGCCAAAGTTAGAAAGTGATAGTGGGGGTGGGGGGGGGGATTTGGGAGTCAGAAAATAAATAAAGTATTAAACCACGCTTGTGGTTTGAGATAATTCACACCCCAGGCATCGAGCTTTGTAAACGGGATCCAAGACCCCTACTGCATCCTGTTGCTGTTTACAGTCGTGCGCCCGATCGGTGTTGTGTTAACACTGAAGCTGCTTAATACCCATTATCATTCGCGTGCTGAGGTGCGTTTTAGCGCTGCGGTGACTGTGCGTGACTGTGCAGAGCCTCGGTGCGTTGAGTGTGTGCTCCTCACCCCTCCCCCGACGCACCAGGTGACCTTCACCAAGCGAAAGTTCGGCCTGATGAAGAAGGCGTATGAGTTGAGCGTGCTGTGCGACTGCGAGATCGCCCTCATCATCTTCAACAGCACCAACCGCCTCTTCCAGTACGCCAGCACCGACATGGACAAGGTGCTGCTGAAGTACACCGAGTACAGCGAGCCGCACGAGAGCCGCACCAACGCCGACATCCTGGAGGTGCAGCCCCCGCTTCTGCTGTTCAGCCATCCATCCATCCATCCATCCATCCATCCATCCATCCGTCTGTCTGTCTGTCCATCAGTTCGTCTGTCCATCCATCCATTTGTCTGTCTATCCATTCGTCTGTCCATCCATCCGTTCGTCCATCAGTCCATCCATCCATCCTTCCATCCGTCCATCCATCCATCCATCCATCCATCCATGTTCCAGCCACTACACTTGTCGCAGGACACACCCGACAAGGTGTCAGTCCATTCTATGGCACACAAACCCTATTACACACTTAGAGACATCAATTAGTAAAAATAAACTTCAGTAACAGGATCGTGCACGCTGACAGGGTGGGTGACACGTCCCTAAGATCCCAAAGTAGCCTTTTCCCCACAGCTGACTCTTGGCTCACTGCCCGGCTTGGCTCTGCCTTGCCCTCTGCCTGCCCTGCTGTCCCGTGCGAGTTTCGGGGGGGTTGGCTGGTTTTCAGAGCATCTCATGTTCCCAGCTCAGGACGTCTTACCTACTTCTTCACAAGTCTGGCCACATCTTGCTGACACGGGCTGTTCCGACCAGTTACCTGCACAAATTTTCTGAACGCCCCACTGTGTGTGTTGTCCCCCCACCCCTGTTGGCTGCAGACTCTGCGCAGGAAGGGCCTGGGGCTGGAGGGAGTGGAGGTCTACAGCGAGGAGGGTGTTCCAGTGCCGGCCGGGAAGTACCAGCAGCTGGAGGAGAGCGTGGACCTGTCTGTCGCACGCCAGCGTTACTACGTAGGTGCCGGGTCTCCACGGGACGGCGGGACGTCCTCAGGGTCCGTCCGGAACCAAGGGCAGGCACACAGCTGCTTAGGGAGTAATCGTGACAAAAATCAAGAAAAAAACAAAACTCCTTGGGGGTGGGGGGTGTCCTGCCTCCTGCCCCCCCCCAGTCGAGGGTCCTGTTTTCGGGTGGTCTTAAGGTCTTTAACAAGCCTGATATCTTTAGGTTGCTGAATACTTACCGTTTCACAGTTACACGACTGACTACAGACTTATGTTTCCAAATGATTAACTCACAAACTCTTTCCACCCATCTTCAGCAGTCTGGAGTCTTGTCAGGCTCATGGTGTCATCATTAGTGTTATTTATTGTTGTTGTATAGATGGTGCTTTTACAATGTTACTCCACTTAACATGCACCCACCTCTCGTGTGGTTCCGGCTCGTTGCTCTGTACAGCGACGGAGCCCTTTGTTGGTGCTGAAGCGGAAGCTGCTCGGTGACACATCTACCTTCTTAGGCTCTTACCGCTTATTTTCCAAGCCCTGATCTGCCCTGAGAATCTGTCAGTTAAAGGCCTTTGCAACAGCCAGACACATCATTGGCAGAAAAACAGTCTCCCCCCCCCCACCCCCCCACGTTCCCCGGGTTCTTGCTCTTACATAGAACCAAATTGTCGTCCCTCTAGCCGCCGCCAGCTCCCCCTCCCCCGGAAGGCCCGTATTTGCTTTCGGAGAACGGATTCTCGGCGGGAAACGGCCCAGGCCTGGCGCCGCACCGGTCCCCTGCCTTTAAGCCCGGTTCCTTCAAACCCGGCACGCCAAGCCCGACGGGATCACATGCCCACTCATCTCTTGGGCCGCCGCACACAGGTGAGAGCACTGGCATTGCCAGGAGGTCACCTGTCAGCCACAGAGGGAAAGCACGCGTCTGATTGGTTGATTGACTGTTTTGTTTGTTGATTGGTTGGTTGGTGAGTTAGTAATGCTTTATTCATTCCCCTGAGAGGAAAAGACTTTAGACTAGCAACAAGAATATAGGAAGGAATTAATGTGCAGTGTAGTAAAAAGGCAGAATGGCATAAGGTGCAAATGTGATTGGTTGGCAGGGCCCATGCAGTTCAATATCGGTATACCTGATAGACTGAATGCACAGTGCCTTGAGGTAGGGGAGCCTCACCGTGCTGCCTGTGAGGACCTCGGGGCAGCAAAGGATCTAATAAGCTGACAGTGAGTTTCTGTCTGTGCTGGGTTGTCGGGACATAGAGCCCTCGGCCCCGAGTTTGCACACGGCCGCTGGGGCAAACTAAGCATGTGCGATGCTCTGTCAGGGCTGCGTGTTCGGTGGGTGCCCCAGGCTGCATGCTGGATGGCATGTAGGGAGCTCTGAGCTTCAATACAAACTGCATCGACTCGGTCTGACGGCACGTACAGGAAGAGAACTCCTCCGCAGTGCAGAATAGCCCCCCACGTTCAAAAAAAGCACCGGCTTTGTGGTTTCAGGGTGTTCACCTCATGTCAGACTTGACACCTCTTCGCGTTCAGAGGCACTAATAGTGAGGCGCTGGTTCAGGGCTGCAAGGCCCCGGGGTCTGACTTGTGTAACAGGCCTCATGCACCGCACGCGCTACCTTGTCCAGAGACATCCGTCTGCCGTAATGAATCATAAGACCTGCATTGCTAATTTTCACGGCTATTAGTGCAGTGAGCTTTGATGAAATCGCAGGTCTTTTTGTGTTTTCTAGACAATTAGCAGCACATCCATCATTACAGACACTGATCTGGACTTTGATAACACGCTGCTCCTTGTTAACAACTCAAACAGAGTTAAAGCATGCAAAAGTTGAGGCAGAAGCC